ATTTTTAGTATAGATGGAGTTTCCTCTTGTTGGCTAGGCTGGTCTTGAACTCCTGACCTCAGGTGATCCGCCCGCTTTGGCCCCACAGTGTTGGGATTACAGGTGTAAGCCACTGTGCCTGGCCAATTGTTGTACTGTTATTTTGTATTTTTTTTTCCTAGATATTTTTGACTCATGGTTGGTTGAATCAGCAGATGAAGAACCCACAGATACAGAGGACCAACTGTATTTATTTAGTAAATGGCTTCATCAATTATCTGGTCACTGAAACAAGAAACTTGAGATAAACCTGACTCCTTCTCCTCACTTCCCATATCTAGTTATCACCAAGTTCTATTATTTTGGCATCCCAAATAATGCTGCTTTTTTTTCACCTTGGTACTAAGTTTGACGGTCACCATTTTTACCTGGATTATTACAAGATTCCTAACTGGTTTATCTGGACTTTGATGATCTGGCAATAGCGTATAAGTTCCATGAGGGCAGGAATTCCTGTTTTGAGACGGAGTTTCGCTCTTGTTACCCAGGCTGGAGTGCAATTGGCGCGATCTCGGCTCACCGCAACCTCCGCCTCCTGGGCTCAGGCAATTCTCCTGCCTCAGCCTCCTGAGTAGCTGGGATTACAAGGCGCTACGCGCCACCACGCCCAGCTAATTTTTTGTATTTTAGTAGAGACGGGGTTTCACCATGTTGACCAGGATGGTCTCGATATCTGACCTCGTGATCCACCCGCCTCTGGCCTCCCAAAGTGCTGGGATTACAGGCTTGAGCCACCGAGCCCGGCCTTTTTTTTTTTTTTTTTTGACAGGATCTTTCTCTGTCATCCAAGGCTGCAGGGTGCTATCCTAGCTCACTGGCGGCCTTGAACTCTCAGGCTCAACCCAACTCCCACCTCAGCCTCCTGAGTAGCTGGGACTACAGGTGCATTCCACCATGCCAGGTTTATAAAAAAATTTTTTTTTGGCTGGGTGTGGTGGCTCACACCTGTAATCCCAGCACTTTGGGAGGTGGAGGCGGGTGGATCATGAGGTCAGGAGTTTGAGACCATCCTGACCAACATCACCTTTGCTTTCAGGTGAAACCCTGTCTCTACTAAAAATACAAAAAATTAGCCAGGTTTGATGGCACACACCTGTAATCCCAGCTACTCAAAAGGCTGAGACAGGAGAATCCCTTGAATCTGGGAGGCAGAGGTTGTAGTGAGCTGAGATCGTGCCACTGCACTCCAGCCTCAAAAGAAATTTTTTTCTTTTTCTTTCTTTCTTTATTTTTTTAAAGATAAGGGATTTTGCTATGTTGCCCAGGTCGGTCTTGAACTCCTGGGCCCAAGCAATCCTCCTGCCTTGGCCTCCCAAGTTGCTGGGATTACAGGCATGAGGCACTGCACTCAGCTGATTCCTATTTTGTTTATGTTGTTTCTCTTAATATCTAGAACAGCACCTGCCACATAGTGGGCACTCAGTTAATACTTGTTGAGTGAATGTATGAATAAATGTCAGCAGTTCACCTTTCCAGCCTCATTCCCACACTGGATATGACCCTCACGTGGCAGCCCTAGCTGAGTGTATAGACTTCTGAGTAAGTTGTCCTTGCACATCTTGTTCTTTCTGCCTGCACATGCTTGGCTCACATCTACTCATTCTTTACGACTTATTCCCACATTATCACCTGTGGGAAGCTCTGCCTTCCCCAGTCTTGGTTAAGTATCTGCCTCTCTGTGGTCCCACAGCATGCTGTGCATACCTCTAAAGTAGCATTTTATCTTGTTTCCTTGTATCTGGTGATTTGCCAACTACGAGCTCTCTGAGGGTGGGGTTTTGACTTTTCCATCTCCATTCCCTGACACATGACCCATACCGAGCACTATATAAAAGTATCCAGAATAGAAAGATCTCTATCCCTCCACCTGACCAACATGGCGAAACCTCGCCTCTACTAAAAATACAAAAATTAGCCAGGCATGGTGGCAGGTGCCTGTAATCTCAGCTACTCAGGAGGCTGAGGCAGGAGAATTGCTTGAACCCAGGAGGCAGAGGTTGCAGTGAGCCGAGATTGCGCCATTGCACTCCAGCCTGGGCAACAGAGCAAGACTCCGTCTGAGAAAAAAAAAAAAGAAATGTCTCTATCCCAACTGACATCACACTTTGTTCTTTCAAGCCACACATGACACTTCATTTAATGGTATTGGTAATGTTTATTTGAAGCTGGTTAGTGAGCTCAATGATGTTCACTTTATTATTCATTACATACATTATTTTGTATGTATAAAACAATTAAAAGAATTGAAAGATTATTTTTGAAGGACTGGTCCTATGTTATAGTCTCTATGCTAGATTTTAGGAACACACGTGATGTATAAGCACAGAACCTGCTCTCAAGTGCTTATCATCTACGGAGAAGAAAAAGCTGTAAACACGTGTAGCATCTTTTTATAAAGTGCTCTATGTGTTATGTCAAAGGATATCTGAGGGGCCGGGCGCGGTGGCTCAAGCCTGTAATCCCAGCACTTTGGGAGGCCGAGGCGGGTGGATCACGAGGTCGAGAGATCGAGACCATCCTGGTCACATGGGTGAAACCCCGTCTCTACTAAAAATACACTAGCTGGGCATGGTGGCCCGTGCCTGTAATCCCAGCTACTCAGGAGGCTGAGGCAGGAGAATTGCCTGACCCAGGAGGCGGAGGTTGCGGTGAGCCGAGATGCGCCATTGCACTCCAGCCTGGGTAACAAGAGCGAAACTCCGTCTCAAAAAACAAAAGGATATCTGAGGGGAGTCAAGTAGGGCTTCATGGAGGTGGTATCCTTTTAGCTGGGAGGAAAGTAGTACATGTTTTGTGGAATGGCTCTGATATACTGGAGTACAGAGTGCCTTAGGGTAGACAGGAAATGGAAGGGCAAGTTGGGTCCAGATGGTGAAGATCCTTACTGGCACACTGAGCAATCTATACTTCATGTTCCTGTAGGTAACAGGCAGCCACTGAGGTTCGGTAAGTGGGGAGACATGTGTTTGGATTCATTCTTTCACTCCCAAATACTGACCCCTGAGTTCCTATTTGCTGCTACTTGGCTGACTTCTCCTTTCATATTAGGATCTCAAGCCCATTCTGGTCTATCAGCTTCTGCGTGGATGCTGGGGAGCAGGGAGGAAAGGGCTGACTCATTACAGAAGGGAAATAAGTAGAAAGGCTGAGTTGCCAAATACCACTCAGTTAGTAGGAGACAGAACTGGAACCCAGCTGCCCCTGGGTTCTCCCCTGCCCATGCAGTCAATTACCCTTCCTTGAGCTCCCTCTGCATCGGGGGCCATGCCTTGGATACTGGGATAGGCAAACCATAAGTAAGGGACAGAAATAGCCCCACACTTTTGTGGCACCCCGCAGTCTGAAATTACAGATTGCGCACCAGAAAGACACACAAAGGGCAGATACAGGAGTGGCTAGAAACTCTAGATATCCATGTTGAGGAGCGTGGTGAGGGGCTGGGGGGCTTTATGGAGGAGGGGAGTATGAAACGGATTTGGGACAATGACGAAGAACAGGGCTGGAGAGAAAGGAAGGAGGTGAGAAGGACCCGCGTGAAGTTTTGGAGGTGGGCAAGAACAAAACCGGATAGGTTTCGTCTCGCGGTGTCTCTATCAGTGGCTTTGTGCAGCTAGCGGTGTGGCTCCTGTGGATGTGTGTGTGGCTTGGCAGGGGCTGTGGCATGGGACCACAGGGCCTGGGTCCCTGTTTGTCTACTTTTCTCCTTTTTTTGCACTAGGCAGCCACCCTTCTGGAAGCCAGGATGTGTGGGTCCCAGATTCTTCTCTCCCCAACCTCCCCCAGAAAATAAATCACACATGATTTCATTAAATGCACCTCCTGCTGAGGATGTTGGCTCATAATTCCTCTCTGATTAACCCCCACTACCCCGGCAAGTTTATAGGCCAAGAGAGGGAGGGGGAGAGGGGGAAGGTAAAAGGAGGGATGGAGGGAATCCCAGGCCGGTGATGGATGCCTCTGTCAGCCCAGCTCGTATTTATTAATAGTCTTAATACGGGAAGCAATAAAGGAAGAGAGGGATTCTATTAATTAAATCATTGTTATAATTAACTTTCATTAAAGGAGGATCAATAAAGAGAGGTTGAGATGGAGAGAGGAGAGATCCATTATCTCTAATTTCCTTGGAAGGGATTCAGGGAATGAGATGGGGTTGCTAGGAGACAGAGACGTGAGGGAAGAAGGAAGGATGTAAGATGTCATCCAGGTGGGGCTGGAAAGGGGGTGGACAGGAGCATTTCAGGTGAGCGGAGGCAGAGAATGGTGGGGGTGGTCCACACAGAGGCCCTGAAGGGAGTGGAGAGCGGCTGAGAAGGGGGCTTTTGGGATGGAGAAGGGGGCTGTAGGCGTGTGCTTGTGCAGGGCATTGCTGAGAGCCTCGGTGGGCGTGCAGGTCCTTAACAAATGCTTTATGATGCTGTGAATGTGTCTGTCTAGCCTGCGAAGCTGGTTAGAGTGGATGAATGTGTTTTTGTGACTGCTGAATCAGAGTGTGCATACAGGTATGAGGGATGGCAACAGAGAATGAAACGGGAAGAATATAAAATCACCTTCAGAAGCATGAGGCTTAGGGCGTGTTTTACTAAGTAGATACTCAAAGGGGCACCCTCTTGACAGGAATAAAGCCTGTCCTTTGGCGTAAGGTACAGTGATGGCTGGTGTGAAAGGTGAAGGTCTGGGCAGTGGAAAACTTGTCTCGCTTTTCCATGGCATGCACCCACCCTGAGACTAAACCCTGAGCAGAACTGACACGGACCCATCGGTTTGCTCGATTCCCCACTGCCGCACTATCCAAGCCAGACCCCCATTTGAGACAACCCACTGGTTGCCAGCACAGCAGGAGGCGCAACAGGACGGTAACTGCCCCGTAACCCTCCTCCCTCCATCACGGTCTAAGGGCTGGCGGTCTGGGCCCTGCACTCCAGTCATACCTCTTAATAAGAACACATTTGTGTCAACGGTTATACATATCATATAAATATATTTGTTCAAACTACAGATCAAAGGGAAGGATACCCGGGGGAAGCTTTTATTGCTGTGGGGGGACCTGGAGAGGGAGGAGGGGCTGGGAAATAGGGATACCTGGGACCATTTCTTCCCCCCATCCCTCACAGAAGGCACAAATACATCATTTCTTTCCGTGTGAGGAGATGTGGGAACAGGATACAGAGTACAGGAATCCTCAAAAATACAAAAACCCTCCAAACTGAAGACCTAAGGCTATGGAAAAGGCTGGGGTGGGCGCAGGAGGCAACGGGGCAACAGAAGGAGGAGCCAAAGAAGCTGAGGACCAAAAGGGACCCACGAGGCCGGGATGGCCATGCTGCTGCCTCTGTGCAGGCCCCGGAGAAAACTCAGGTAAACAAACGAAAACCCCAAATAAGAGAGGGTGGGGTGCCCCAGGGACTGGCTTTGGGGCATCAGACATGGGAGTGTGTGTGAGTGAGTGTGTGTGTGTGCAGTGGCTGTGTATCAGCAGCAACCAGGGCTGTTCCCACAGGGGAAGGCCTCCAGCCCGCTTCCTCCAAAACCGCCTTCAGGGGGTAAATTCAGCCACTGCTTCTGAACAGGACCCCTACCTGGGACGAAAGAGCCAGGCAGGAGAGGATAAAGTGAGAAATCCTGGGATGAAAGCAGGGCACACACAGAAGCAGTTCTTAGGGAACAGAATCTCACGGAGCCGGGTGTGGTAGAAAATGGGCATAAGTATATGCGTGTGTGTGTGTGTGTGTGTGTGTGTGTGTGTGTGTGTGTATTTGTGCATGTATGAGGGAGTAAGATCACTCAAAGGTGAAGGGGTCCTGTGTGCTGAAAAAGAAGTGTCCATCCATGTGGTCCTCCAGGGCATCCTTGTCGCTCTCAGCAGGGAAGCGCTCCTTACAGATAGGACACTCCTTCCACGTGGGGGTGGCAGGGCCCCCAGTGCTGGCTTCTGGCAGGGGACCCACTGTAAAGCCACTAAGAGAGACAGAGGGGTTAGGGGAGAGGGTTGGCATGCTCCGTTTCCTTCTTGACTTGCAGACTTCAGGGAGCAGGACCCACGCGGCTGGTCCCAGGTTATCTTGTGCCTAATGCAGCATCCCGGTCTCTCCCGCAGCGTCTTTCTCCCCGCAACCCCGGAAGCCTTGTTTGTCCAGTTCCCCGTGTCCTCTCTTCTTTAGTCCCTGCTTGTCTCTGCAGTGCAGAGCCCATCCCCCAACCTCCTGCTCTCCTGCTTCCATCTCCGTCTGCTGCCTAATGAGGCTGAAAATGAGTCTGACATCGTCCTTCATCTTCCCGCTCCAGCTGAGAAGGATGACAGCATCACCCCCTCCCTGCCCTGAGCCCATCTCACGGCTAGGCAAAACCGCGACTAGGTGATCAAATCTCTCTTCCCTGTGCCTGCCTCCTTGACCCTGGGAATAACAGGGAAGAAGGTGACAATCTGGTACCTGAAACCCCCACCCCTGTAGGTTCCCTTCCCTAAGGGTCCCCCAGGGAAGTCAGGGAAGAGGGACAGCATTTTCGGTGTAGCCAGACAGATGCTGGAGCCCAGTCTTCTCTCTGCTCCTATCCCTGGGGGCTGTGGTCACCTCCCTTCCTCCCCGGAGAATCCTAGGTACCTACCTAGTGTCTGGGGAAGGGGTAGGGGCAGGAGAGAGGGGAAGCAAGGCAATTTGGGCTCTGCGGAAGATGGTGCTAGAACAAAATAGAAGCCAGTTAAAGGCAAGACCTCTGAGTGCCTTGATAAGATAGGGGGAGGGATTACCTGAAGGCATCTGGGATTTGGAGCAGTGAGTCAGTTTCCTTGTTAACCATACCTGTATCTTCTTTTCTTGGCTGAGGCCAAGAAGGGTGGAGGTTGGGAGCAGGGCCTGGTGACTGTCCACACAGATGCTCCTTTCCTCTGACCTCCTCCCACTTCCCTCCTGGCCTCGATGGTTGAACTCACCTGGCCATGTCATAGAAGGCACTGCCCAGTTCAGGTAGCAGCAAGTTGGCCTCCTCGCCCCCACTCTGCACAGCTGCCATCAGGACTGACTTCTCATCTTCAGCCTCCTGGACGCCGAAGAGACAGGGTTGGTGGACTTTGGGGTGGTGTCCCAAGATGGGGGAGCAGCACATTGGGACAGGTATGGGAGGGAGCAGCCAAGGTTAGGACAGTGCCCTGGGGGACTTAGGAAGAGTGAGGCAGGAGTGGCGTTGTAAGGGGCTGGTGGCTAACAAGAGAATGAGGAGTGTGAGGGAGGGGAGAAGCAGTGAGGCTACTGGGCTGGTCTGGGTTTTGGGATGGTGATCTGTTGGTGTGGCCTTGAAGAGAGGCTGGGCCTGCCTCCTCTGCCCTGGGAAAAAAAGAGAGCCCCATATGGCTAAGATTCCTGCTCTAACTAGCTGGGGGCACGTGCCTGTGGTCCCAGCTACTCTCGGAAGACTGAGGTGAGAGGATCACTTCAGCCCACGAGGCAGAGGCTGCAGTGAGCCAAAACCAGGCTGTATTCCAGCCTGGGTGACAGAGTGAGACCCCGTCTGAGAGATTCCTGCTGTAGAGCTGGGGAGACCCCGTCTGAGAAACTCCTGCTGTAGAGCCGGGGAGACCCCGTCTGAGAGACTCCTGCTGTAGAGCCGGGGATACGTGGGTTTGGCTCTACCCCTCCTTACTGCCTCTCACAGGCTCCTCCACTGCTCACCGAGTCAGAGCTACTGTCCTCAGCTGGCCCAGAGAGGTGAGAAGAAATGGGAGCCGGCTGGCTGATGACAACGAGTGGAGAAGCCTCTCGAGGCCCAGAAGGAGAAGAGCCTGGATCTCCATGCTCACAAGGGCTATAGGGTGGGAGCCTCATGTCTTCTGGGGACTCGTCCTCTGAGTCTGTCAGAGCTGCTGGGCAGCCTGTAGGAGACAGGGCAGGCAGAGAAGAAAGAAGGATGTGTCGTGAGGAGGTTGGACCAGCTGGCTCCTCTGGATGAGGGGTATCATTAGACTAAACAGGGGACAGCATCTGGGAAAGAAAAGGCAAGACACATAGAAGGCAGAGGCAGCTCCCAGCAAGGTTACATGGAGCCTTCCTCAGCAGCGGGAGGTAGGTGGGGAAGAGGTGTTACAAGACTGGGGCTGTACGGACTCAGCCCCGCAGCAGCCTCCTCATCCTCGGTGGCAGCATCCTCATTCCACTTCTCGTCTGCCACCTTCTCCAGGCGGGCCTCCAGCTTTCTCATGTACTCTAGCAATTCCTGGAATTGGGAAGAAAAAGGCAGGTGCTAGAGACTGGGAAGGTGCCAACCTTGCTGGCCTGCAAGGCCTTTCTCTGCACCCGGGAGGAACTCTTAGCTCCTCAGGATTAGAAGCCTGCAGCAAATACTAGGGCAACTTCAGGTAGATAACCCCCAGCACCCCTCCTTCACCACTTGCATCCCTCCCTTCTCCCGGAGATCATCCCCTGTCCTGCCAAGTCCACTAGTAAGAGAAGCCAAGGGATGGGTCCTCTTGGAGAGAACAGTCTCTAAGTCAAGGGATGACAGGACTTTACAAAGTTTCTAGCCCTCTAGTCCTCACCTGTGGCATCTATGGGGCCTGGGTTATGGGTGCTCACCTGCTTCTCCTCTTGTAACTGCTCCTTTTCCTTCTGGAGCACACGCAGGGCTGATCGCAGCTCTGTCAGCTCCCGCTTACTTTCTGACAACTGTACCTGAAGGAGGAGAGTCAGATGGAATCTGGAGCCTAGAATGTACCTCCAAGAACCTGGGCTCTGGGAGCAGGACCAACAATCTAGAACCAAGTCTCCCCATGTGTCTGCTGCTTTCTTGCGCTGACACACCCACAGAACTCCCAACGCTCTTCCTCCATGCGTCCTTTGTCTTGGGCCATGGGGATTCAGTGATCTAAGTCCCAGTCTCTGCCTCTCGAGTGGGGACCTGGACGAGTGCCTCTAGGCTGGGGTGCAGAGGCCTTGGTTGTACCAAGGGGCCACTCTAGAAGTCTCCTAAGTCACCCCTCCTGGGCCCAGATGTGTGCCCTGAGAACGGAAAGAATGCACATTTCAAACCAACGAGGGCTTGTGTGTGCACGTGAAATGCCACCCGACAGGTAAGTGGATACCTCACACTTCTGAGCCCATACCCAAGACAGGGAAGGGGTATGGATGCCTCAGGAGGCCAGAGGACAGGACCGTTGGTGGCTGGGGGCCTCACCAGGCTAGAATCCTTTTCCCGGGCCAGCTCAGTCTTCACCACCTGGTTTTGGGTCCTCTCCTCCTGAACTGCCTTCTCTAGTCGAAGTATCTCTGCACTCAGCTTCAGGATCTTGTCCTTCTCTGTCTGGGAGAGAGCCAAGAAGAAAAATAGGAAAGTGGAGGGGGAAGAAAAAGGAACGCCACTGTCAACAGCATCATCCCTTACTGTGTCCTTTCCTTTCTTTCAAGAACCATTTCTGGAGCATTTCCCCCTTTCATTTCCTAACGAAGGATAGGACGCGAATGACAGCAGGTGCCGCACTGATCAGGAATGGGCGTTACGGCAGGGCCTGGGACCTAGGACAGAAGATGTTTCTGTTCCAAGGAAGGCGCTCTGGTGATCAGAATTGGGATACCCGGGTTAGAGATGGGTCATGCTTGGAAAGTAAAGTGTACCTCCCTCAAAGTCCCTCTCCACCCCGAGTCCTCTAAGCTTCTCAACCCCTCTTCTCTCCTCCCAGAGGGTCTGACCACATGTAGGAGTCCCCACAGAGGTGGGGGCAGTGGCCATCATTCTGCCAGGTGCCGCTATCCCTCTACCTCCACATTCTGCAGCAGCGCTGCCCGCTCCTTGTTCCATTGGGATTTTTCTTCTTTCAAGTGCAAACTGAGCTCAGCCAGCCGGCCATTGACCTCAGCCACTTCCAGGCGGCTGCGGTGTAGTTCGGCTATGGTGCGGTCCCTGGCTGCTGCTGCGCTGGCCAACTCCTCCGCAAGAAGGGTGGCTTTCTGCTGGCTTGAGGCTGCAAGCTCCTGGGCCCCTCGAAGCTGCTCCTTCAGGGGCTCCAGCTCAGCCTGAGGAGAAAGGAGGAGATGGAGATCAGAGTTCCCTGTGAATCATTTGTCAGCCGGGGAGGTAACCAGGCTCCCTCCACTCCACCGCATTAGGACTCAGGGTTGTGTTGTTTCATCTTTAGCCATGTCTTTCCCTCTCTTTAGACACTCAGGCTTTTCTACAACCTGCCCTTGGAACTTTCCCTGTTTTCTGTTGCCTCGGGGCCTTCACTCACCACCCGCTGCTGGGCCTGGCCTAGGGTGTCCTTCATCTGGGCCACCTTGTCTTTCAGTCGCTGGGCCTGAGCGCTCTGCTCCTCTTGCCAGCTCTTGGCCTCCTGCAGCTCCAAATTTAAGCGATGGTTTTCCTGTTGTGCTGCTTGGAGCTCAGCCTGATGGAAGTGGAAAGCAGGTAAGGAAACGGGTATGTGTGTTGGGGTGGTGCGGCAGGTGAACCACGGTGATGAGAGAAGTCAAGGCTGCACTTCTGAGATTTAACACACACTCAAGTCTTCGGCTATGGCCAGCCCTTCTTGGGTTCTCAGCTCAAAGGACTCGATCCTGCATATCCAGTCTCCAGTTTCCAAAATGAGGTATTCAGCATCACAGCCTCAGGTCTTACGTGTAGGCATTCCGTGTACTATTTCTGCTACTCCATTCTTTTTTTTTTTTTTTTTTTTTTTTTTGAGATGGAGTTTCGCTCTTGTTACCCAGGCTGGAGTGCAATGGCGCGATCTCGGCTCACCGCAACCTCCGCCTCCTGGGTTCAGGCAATTCTCCTGCCTCAGCCTCCTGAGTAGCTGGGATTACAGGCACGTGCCACCATGCCCAGCTAGTTTTTTTGTATTTTTAGTAGAGACGGGGTTTCACCATGTTGACCAGGATGGTCTCGATCTCTCGACCTCGTGATCCACCGCCTCGGCCTCCCAAAGTGCTGGGATTACAGGCTTGAGCCACTGCGCCCGGCCGCATTCTTTCTCTTAAATTGAAACTCAGTCTCCACGCCCTACAGGCCCCTCAAACTCAACAGTCTACCTCCCACCCCATCCCAGTCTTTCCTCATCTTATTTCTGTCCATGGTACCAACTAGCTCCCAAGTTACTCAGGATGGTTCCCTTGGTGCCATGCTTGGCTCTGCCCTCCCCCTAGCGGTCCACAGAAAAGCCTATTGCTTCTCCGTCCTGGTCATAGCCATTTCCTCTTCTCCATTACCACCACAACCACATTATCTCAGACTCCGGTCATTTCCTGCTTGGACTACAGAATGACTTCGTAACTAGCTCATTCTCCACAAGGCAATCAGATTATTCTTCTTGAGGTACAGTTCTGATTCTTTAAGTACAGTTATTTTCTTTTTTAGATTTAGGGTCTGGCTCTGTCGCCCAGACTGGAGTGAAGTAGCATTGTCGTAGCTCACTGCAGCCTCCAACTCCTGGGCTCAAGCAATTGTCTCACCCCAGCCTCCTGAGTAGCTGGGATTATAGGTGAACGCCACCATGCCTGCCTAATTTTTGTTGATACAGGGTCTCACTATGTTGCCCAGGCTTGTCTCGAACTCCTGAGCTCAAGGGATCCTCCTGCCTTGGCCTCTCAAAATGTTGGGATTACAAGCGTGAGCTACTGCACCTGGCCATAAGTACATGTCACCCCTGCTTGAAAAATCATCAAAGCCTTTCACTGCTTGTGGAATAAAAATGAAGCTCAGGATCCTCCACAGTCTGACCCTGGCCTTATCGCAAACACTTGAGTCACACATTCAAATGCCCTGAGTGTTCTGGCCTCTAAGCCGGTGCTCATGTCTTTTTCTGTTCCTAGAATAGCCTCACTCTCATATCTGTCTACTCAAATTCTACCTATTTTCACTGCTGCACAAAGGGGTTTTAAATGATCTTCCACACAAACCCAGGGTTCTGAGGAAGCAATTTAGGAGTTCTGTAGATATTTGATTTGAACTTCTTCTACATTATTAACAATTAGGTTAAAACAAAACAAAACAAAACACAAGGCCAGCCACAGTGGCTCACAGCTGTAATCTCAGTGTGTGATTTGGGAGGCCGAGGCGGGTGGATCAGCTGAGGTCAGAAGTTCAAGACCAGCCTGGCCAACATGGTGAAACCCCATCTCTACTAAAAACACAAAAACTTAGCCAGGTGTGATAGCTGGTGCCTGTAATCCCAGCTACTTCGGAGGCTGAGGCAGGAGAATCGCTTGAACTCGGAAGGCAGATGTTGCGGTGAGCCAAGATCCTGACACTGCACTCCAGCCTGGGCAACAAGGGTGAAACTCCATCTCAAAAAAAAAAAAAAAAAAAAGGGGGCCAGATGCGGTGGCTCACGCCTATAATCCCAGCACTCTGAGACCGAGGGGGGCGGATCACGAGGTCAGGAGACTGAGACCATTCTGGCTAACAGTGAAACCCCGTCTCTACTAAAAATAATAAAAATAAATAAATAAAAAATAACAAATTAGCCAGGCATGGTAGCATGCGCCCATAGTCCCAGCTACTACTTGGGAGGCTGAGGTAGGAGAATCGCTTGGACCTGGGAGGCGGAGGTTGCAGTGAGCCACGATTGTGCCACTGCACTCCAGCCTGGGTGACAGAGCAAGACTCTCTCTAAAAAACAAAACAAAACAAAACAAAACAAAACAAAACCAAACCCATAAAATCACAAGTGAACACACTGGAGATCACCAAGTGATATGTGTTTCCAGGTTAATTCATTTTTGTGCAAAGCTCAGAACAGTTTCTGTTGTATTTTCTATTGAACTGAATAGTAAACTGAGCTGCAAGGTGGACAGTTTAAAAATGGTTATCATTTGTACCTACTTCTGTGTGACTCAATGTGTTCTCAATATTGCACAACCAAAATAAAATACAGAAATACATTAGTTGCTGAGGCTGACAGAAAGTCATCTATAACCTCTAATTTCAAAGTCTGGTGTGTCTCAAAATTACCTAATTGCTTTCATTAACTTTTAAGTAAATGTTATACATTCAAATTTATAAAAATAAAAGTTATAGTACTAAAATATTGTTTTTATTTATTCAGTGAGATTCCACACAAGACGAAAAACTTTATTGGTGGGAGGAAAAGAAACAGTTCTGCTAAAAAGGTTTGGAAGTACTAGGCTACTACATGCTCCACACCCCACCCCCTTTTTTTTTTTTCTGATACAGAATCTCACAATCTCACTCTGTCACCCAGGCTGGAGTGCAGGGGTATGATCATAGCCCACTGCAGCCTCAACCTCCTGGGCTTAAGCAATTCTTCCATCTCAGCTTCCTGAGTAGCTAGGACTACAGGTGCATGCCACCGTACCTGACTGTTTTAAAAATTTTTTGTAGAGATGGGGTCTTACTATATTGCCCAGGCTGGTTTCGAACTCCTGGGCTTGAACAATCCTCCTACCTCAGCCTCCCAAAGTGTACAATCACATTCATGAACTACCATGCCTAGCCATGAACCTCCCTTACTTTTTTTTTTTTTTTTTTTTTTGAGACAGAGTCTTACTCTGTCACCCAGGCTGGAGTGCAGTAGTGTGATCTATGCTCACCGTGGTCTCTGCCTCCTGGTTCAAGCAATTCTCCTACCTCAGCCTCCCAAGTAGCTGGGATTACTGGCACCCACCACCATGCTTGGCTAATTGTTATATTTTTAGTAGAGATGGGGTTTCACCATGTTGGCCAGGCTGGTCTTGAACTCCTGACCTAAGGTGATCCACCCGCCTCGGCTTCCCAAAATGCTGGGATTACAGGCATGAGTCACCGTGCCCGGCCTTCACACCCCTTTTAAAAAGACTTTTCTAATGTCTCTAACAAGATGTTCTTTCATATACCTCCCTGGAGCCCTACAATACTTCATTAGATTTCTCTCAAGGCCAGGCACAGTGGCTCATACCTGTAACCTTAGCACTTTGGGAGGCTGAGGTGGGCGGATCACTTGAGATCGGGAGTTCGAGACCAGCCTGCCCAACATGGTGAAATCCTGTCTCTACTAAAAATACAAAAATTAGTGGTGCGTGCCTGTAATCCCAGCTGCTTGGGTAGCTGAGACATGAGAATCACTGGAGCCCAGGAGGCGGAGGTTGCAGCGAGCTGAGACAGTACCACTGCACTCCAGCCTGGGAGACAAAGTGAGACTCTTGTCTCCAAAAAAAAACAACGACAAAAAAGATTTCTCTTGTGACACTTCTTATATTCCACTTTTCCACTTTGACAAATTCTGATTTGGATATATGTCTCATGTTCCCTAGTAGAGCACACACAATGTCTTCTTTACATTTTTATTCCCTTTGGTGTCCGGCTCTCAGAAAAGAATCGAACACTGACTGAACAATGGAGAAAGTGAACCAACTCTGAGCCCCTTACCTCGCTTTGCTCCTTGTCTGCTTGGACTTCTTTCAGTTGCCCAAGGAGCTTCTCTTGTTCCCGGGTCAGGGCCTTCACTGTGTCTCTAACCCTGGGATTGACAGGATTGATAGGATGACATGTCAGACAATCTGCTCCACCTAGAGAAGGAACAGACTCAGACCTCTGTCTTGTGCCCTTCTACTGCTGCTCTAGGCCCAGAGCTCCATTTCACTCTGGGATGCATAAATCCCCAAGCCAGCGGATCCAGTTCTAAGCCCCAAGATTCCAGGTTCTAGAGTACAGATTTAGAAATAAATAGTTTTTCTTATCTTTTGATGTAATATTTTAAGGAATGTTCTGCTGATGGCTCCTACTGTTTTCACTCAATCAAGAGACTAGAATCTAGTCTTTTCGAGACAAGGGCAGTCATTATTGATTATAAACTTTTGATCTAGACCAGAAGTTGGCAGACTCTTTCTGTAAAGGGCCTGACAGTAAAGACTGTATGCTTTGCAGGCCACGTGGTCTCTGCGGCATCTACTCAGCTCTGCTATTTTGTGCAGAAGCATCCATTGACAATATGTAAGTGAATGAGCGCGATGCTCCAATAAAACTTGAACAAAGATTTGAAGTTCATACAACTTTCATATGTCACAAGATATTCTTCTTTTCTTCTTAACCATTAAAGGATATAAAAACTGTTCTTACCTGCGGGCTATACAACAGGTGGCAGGCTCAATATGGCTTGTGGGCCATAGTTGTTGACCCCTGGTCTAGGCAGTCCCTAATCTTTTCCAGATGCTCAATCTGATCCCTGCCTTTCTAACCTACGACTTAGAATGTAGACAGCTAATATCTCCCTAGGGCGAGACTAACATGTCCTGAAGAAGCCTCTCAGATGAATTCACTTATTACTTTAGGCCTTGGACAGAATGCCTTTCTTTTAAACAGTTTTAAAAAATATCACGTCTACCAGTACTAAATGAAACATAATTATGTCACTTAATGAAATAAAGAACTAGAGTATTTAAACTGGTGAAAATTTGAAGGATGGATATGGGAGGTGGTGGTCACTATTTATGCTACTTGGTAGAGGTAACAGTTTTCTGGAAGAAGCGAGAAATGTATTCTGTGTGTCTCCAGAGGTCTCAGGACCTCCTGGTAAGTTACAGGAGGGTAGAGTTTCGCTTAATACAAGAGATACAAAAATGACAGCTGTCAAATGTTGAAAGAGGTTGCCTCCTGAGGGTGACCTCTTACATACCCTCATACATACCTTACATTCCCAATGCTAAGAGTCTATGATTTATATTTTTTCAGGGGAGAGATTCCATAATATTCCTGGATCACCAGTTCTAATGTTTCTTAATAGGTAGTAACTTTCCTGTGGCCAAATCTGAAATCCATACTCTCTCTCTCTCTTTTTTATTGAGATGGAGTTTCACTCTTGTTTTCCAGGCTGGATTGTAATGGTGCAATCTCAGCTCACCGCAACCTCCGCCTCCCAGGTTCAAGTGATTCTCCTGCTTCAGCCTCCTGAGTAGCTGGGATTACAGGCATGCACCACCAGGCCCAGCTCATTTTGTATTTTTAGTAGAGACAGCATTTTTCCATGTTGGTCAGGCTGGTCTCGAACTCCTGACCTCAGGTGATCTGCCTGCCTTGGCCTCCCTAAGTGCTGGGATTATAGGCACCAGCCATCTTGCCCAGCCATATCCATCCTCTCTTATCTTGCACTGACTTCCATCCATTCTCTTCCTCCAAATCCTCCACTCCTAGCTCTGGCTCAGCTTTTGCTGCACAGTAAGTGGTAACTATGATTATTTCTGAAGAGGAGGAGTACAGCTTAGTGTTTGGAAAGATGGGAGAGAGCTCAGCAGAAAAGGGTATCCCCAGTAACTGGACGAGCCTGAATGAGGGTGAGAGGGAGAGAGGAAGCATGTGGGGCAGACAGCGGGTCTACCTGCCTGAGAGAGGAGGCTGCAGTGAGGGGCCCATGGAAGGGAGAGGAAGTGACGGGGTCAGTGGACTCCCCTCACCTGTCCAGCTCCACCTCCTTCATCAGCACTTTCTCACTGATGGTCTGGATGTCGTCCTCCAGCTCCAGGATGCGTGCCACATGGTCTCCCTGTTGCCGGCTCAGGATGTCCCTTTCTTCTGTGATCTCCCCATGGGACCTCGAAATTCCCTGTAATTAAGTTTCCCCCAGAAGAAAAAGGAGGTTGGGATTCATCTCTCAAGTGGTGGAACAAAGACTTAGGAAGAGCACTCCAGGGTCTGACTGCTCCCGCCCAGCTATCACATCACCTTCCTTGAAAAAGAAACTGTAAGGGAACATTCCCTTACCTATCAGTGGAGCTACCTCCACCTTAGCCCAGCATTCCTATGTTCCAAGAACTGAGTCTCATTACAAGTTTTGAAACATGTCTTTTGTCATATCAAGTTTAATCCCACCCATTACCCTTTAAGTCTATTTCCTTGATGCCAGAACCATCATAAAAGCCAATTAACATCTCTCCTCCACCCTCTTCACTGGGTTCAGATTTTAGACACTGGGTGAGCAGCCAGGCCCTGTCCCCTACCTGGCCCAGCTCCCACCTTGTACTGTTCCGTCAGCTCCGCGTGCTCCTGCCTGGCAGTTGCCAGAACCCTCTCGAGCTCCTGCACTCGGCTCCTCAGCTCTGTCACCTGTGCCTCCAGCTGCAGCTTCAGCTGCATCAGGTCATTCCGTTCTTGCTGGCTCTCATCTAGCTGGTTCTATAGATGGCAGGATGAGAAGGGGGTGTGCTGGTGGAGTACCCCTTCTAAGGGCCCATCCTCACTCAGAATGCACCAGGTGCATTTTGGGGTTGGGGAGTTATGTAGCTTTGAGCTCGAAAGAGGTGAGAAAGGGGATGCTTGGTGTGCTACGAAATCCCATCCATCACCCAGTCAGATGCACCAGATCATGGCACCCTGAATTGCCCATCCCTCTTTTTCCTTTCCCTGCCCTAGGCCTGGCCCTTTCTTTACCCAGCAATTGCAGGAATCCCTCGTGTGGCACAAGTCAATGAACATAGACACAAGGGATGACTCCCCTAATTTTACCCTATATGCTCTGGAGTTGGACAGACTTGGGTTCAAATCTTCAACGCAATTTTTACTAGCTATGTGATTTTTTTTTTAAGATAGGGTCTCACTATGTTGCCCAGGCTGGAGTGCAGTGGCTATCCACAGGTACAACCACAGCATACCATAGCCTCAAATTCCTGGCCTCAAGCAATCCTTCCATCTCAGTGTCTCTCAAGTAGCTGAGACTACAGGCGCATGCCACTACACCCGGCTAGCTATGTGATTTTGAACAAGCTTCTTAACTTCTCTAAGTCTCTGTGTCTTCATCTGTACCATGATCCCTTAGTCTGGATTGTTGTAACGCTCAAATAAGAATCATGATTGTGAAAACACAACAGAGTAGGAGCTCACATATCTTTCACTTATGTGACATAAATATCTTGCTATTCCTGTGGTGATGCCATGTATTTATTAGACTTGGAGTTCTAGAGGACAGGGTTTGTCTGAATCACAGGAAAGCTACTCTTTCTCACCTTCTCAGTCTTCCCCAGTCCCTTCCTTATCTGGGGGATATATTTCCTCTCCACCTGGCCCTGTCTCTTGTCTTCCTTCAGGAAGTCTTTCATGCTAATATCTGCCTTTACTCCTTAATTCTTCTCTATTTGGCTCAATAGAAATATAATACAAGCCACATATATACTTTAAAATGTTCTAGCAGGCACTTAAAATTAATGAGAAACCTTTGATATTAATTTCTAGAACACACACACACACACACACAAACACACACACACAGATGGAGTCTCATTCTGTCACCCAGGCTGGAGTGTAGTGGTGCGATCTTGGCTCACTTCAACCCCTTCCTCCCAGGTTCAAGCAATTCTCTTGCCTTAGCTTCCCAAGTAGCTGGGATTACAGGACCCACCAGCATGCCCAGCTAATTTTTGTATTTTTAGTAGAGATGGGACACCATGATGGCCAGGCCAGGCTGGTCTTGACTCCTGACCTCAAGTGATCTGCCTGTCTCGACCTCCCAAAGTGCTGGGATTACAGGTGTGAGCCACTGTGCCTAACCAAGAATATTTAGTCTAACACAGTCTATCTAAAATAGCATCATTTTGGCCAGTTGCAGTGGCATATACCTGTAGTCCCAGCTACTCAGCAGGCTGAGCTGGGAGGATTGCTTGAGCCCAGGAGTTCAAGATCAGCTTGGGCAACATAGCAAGACCTCATCTCTTAAAAAAAAAAAAAAAAAAAAAGACCAAAATGGCTGGACGCGGTGGCTCATACCTATAATCCCAGCACTCTGGGAGGCTAAGGCAGGTAGATCACGAGGTCAAGAGATCGAGACCATCCTGGCCAACATGGTGAAATCCCATTTCTACTAAAAATACAAAAATTAGCTGGGTGTGGTAGCAGGTGCCTGTAGTCCCAGCTACTCGGGAGGCTGAGGCAGAAGAATCACTTGAATCCAGGAGGCGGAGGTTGCAGTGAGCCAAGATTGCACCACCACACTCAGCCTGGGTGACAGAGCGAGACTGTCTCAAACAAACAAACAAACCAACCAACCAACCAACCAAAAAAAAACCACCAAAAAAACAACCAAAACAGTAACATTTCAATATGTAGTCAAAATAAAAATTATTCAAGTCTTTCACATTCTCTCTAAAAAATACTAAGTCTTCAAAATCTGGAGTGTATTTTACCCATACAGTCCATCTCAATTTGGATTAATTGCATTTGAAGTGCTCAAAAGCCGTATGTAGTTAAGCGCCTTTGGCGTTGGACAGTACAGGTCTGGGGTCTTGCCTATCTGCTCTCACTCCCTGTCCTGGAAGCAGGTCTTGTGCTGCCTTTTCTCTGAACGTCCCGTGGAGTAGCCCCCCTCTACCCTTTAATCTTCCTCTAGGGCATAGGACAGGATGTAGCGCATGGAGAAGGAAGGCTCTGCAAGTTCTTATGAGATCCTGAGTTACACTGGCCTGTGGGTGGTCTGCTTTCCTGCCTTACATGTTCGTGTATGTCTATGTCAGACTGAGACGTTCCTGGAGGCAGAACTTTCTCTAACTCTCAGTCAGGTCTTCAGTTGAGGCCACAGATGAGGGGAGGGTAAGGTGGGAAGGATCCTCTTGCAATGCCCTCCCCCACTTCTTGCCTGGGAGTAACTCCATTGCTCTTTTCTCACCTGTAGCACAGTTGCCTTGGGGACAACCAGCAGGATGTCAGAGCCCCCATCAGCCTCCTCCATGGTCACCAGTTCATCCATGGGCCTTGGCTCTCGGAACTGGAAAGGGGGGCTCTGCCCACACACCCGGCCCTGGCGGTTCACATATCGGAACTGGTAGAGCTGAGCTCCTGGTTTGGGCAGGTAGCTGGCTGTGGGAAGAAGAATGGATCCAGGACCCCAAATGATCCACTGTCTTTGGCTCCAGTCCCTTGCTCAGTGTTCCATACACTGTGTCTTCTCTTCTCCACTTCCTACAAGCCGTTTCTTTTCCCAGGTACTCTTCTCCCTCCTTTCGGCCTATGCCTCTCCTTTCTGTCTTTCCAAACCCATTCTCCTGCTGTCACAATCATAATAATACCAGTTGCCATGTAGTGAGTGCCTATCATGTGCCAGACCCTGCAGTAACAGCTTTTATTTTATTTTGAGACCGCGTCATGCTCAGTTGCCCCGGCTGGAGTGCAGTGGTGCAATCTTGGCTCATGCAACCTCTGCCTCCCGGGTTCAAGCGATACTCTTGCCTCAGCCTCCTGAGTGGCTGGGATTACCGGCATGCACCACCACACCTGGCTAATTTTTTTTGTATTTTTAGTAGAAACAGGGTTTTGCCACGTTGGCCAGACTGGTCTTGAACTCTTGACCTCAAGTGATCCATCCACCTTGGCCTCCCAAGGTGCTGGGATCACCATGCCCGGCCTATAGCTTTCATTTTAAATCCTCATAATGTCCCTATAAGCCAGGCAGTCCCTTTTACTGTTAAGATGACAGACACAGGGAAGTTATGTAATTTGCCCAAGGCCAAACAGCTTGTAAGTGTTAGAGGTGAGATTTGAACCCGGGTCTTTCCCTCTTCTCAACACATAATGCTACCTTTCCCTCTTTCTTACTCCCTTGCTCTTCCTTCTTTGGGTAGGATATGGGACTAGATGCCCTCTGAAGTTCCTTCCATTTTGAAGTCCCTGATTCTGCGATAATCCCATGATTTTCTATCTGCGAAGCCCTGTTGGATATATTATCATTATATTTATTTTAATTTATTTTTCCTTGTCCTTTGTGCCCAACTTTTATGTTTCTGAGCCCACCACCTTCTTCTAAACCTCTACTCCCTTGGCTCCTCTCTCCCAATTTTCCATCTTCCCTTGTACCTTGGAACTGGACACTGGTGTGGATAGGGGAACCATCAGTTGTACTTTCAGGCACAGAAGACCACACAAATGTGTGGTAATCCCGAACACAGGCAGCCTCCACCTATGAAAGCCCAAGGTTGAAGAAAGGCATGGTGATGGAACTACCCTCTACGGATGGAAGAGCAGGATGAAGGATTGAATGGGGGCAGGGGCGGGCAGGATGGAGCTACAGTGGCAACAAGGACAAGAGGAAGGGAAAGTGGAGGGACACTAATGTGTCAGTAGAGAACAAGGCATAGACAAAGACAAGATGAGCTTTGCATATACAGTGGCCTCTGTCATCTGTGGCATCTTTCTCCCTTCTTCTCTATCAACCTGAGGTTGAGTATCCAAGAACCCAATCATTTCCCTTATTCCAACCAACCCATGGCCGATAAACCTAAGCCAAAAGGGGTTCCAGAGGTACCTTGAAGATGCCAATCCAGTCGCTGGCACTGGGCATGGTGCCTGGGGGAAGGGTGTAGTGACATTCCACCTTGGTGTTGGGGATGTAGGTCCGGGCTACATTCAGAAAGTTGACTCCACCACGGGATGGTGCCCGGCTTAGTGGTGATTCTTCCATCCTGTCCTTGATCTCTGTCTTCCTATGAAAGAAAGCGTTGATATCCTAAAGTCTCTCCAGTCCACCTCCTCCCCCTGACAGCTCCAGCACCACACACTCACAGCCCCTGCCACGACACCTGGGGATAAGGCCTACCTGGTTCCAGTCCCTGAGGGTTATGGGACCTTGTAGAGGTATCACTCTTAGTCTCATCTACATCTAGGATGTAGATCTGGCCTTCCAAGTCAGTCCCCATCCGGTCTCACACTGTACCTTCTCTGGTTCACAGACCTTTCTGAGGGTTCAGGCTTCTCTAATTTTTGCTCCCAAAAGGGCACTGAGGGGGACAGAGCCTGAGACTTGGTTGACAGCCTCCATTTCTCCATTCCATTTCCCACACCTGGCTCTTGAATTCAAAATCCAACTGAGGTGTGGGGCCCTCTCATTGAGAGGTGTCCTTACCTACTCCTAAGCTTGTTGACCCAGCTGTACCCAGGAATGAGTTATGACATAAGAAAGCAGCAACTAATCTCTGAATGGTTGAGTTTTCAGAGCTAGAATATGGCTGGGGCTCGGGGAGGAACTGACAACCCAAATCCTTAGGTTCCTGAGCTCTCAGCTATTTTCATGCCTCTGAGCTGTCTACCCCCAGGAACTCTAGGGAAGCAGAAGGCTTCTGCTGGCATCCAAGAGACAAAGGGAAGGGGAGGATATAAGGAAAGACAGGTCTTGTCCCTGGACTTATTATTCCAGGAAGTCAAGAATTCTGGAGGCGGCAGCTTCAAGGGCGGAGTGAGGCGCTTAGCAGGAACGTGGAGGGGGGGATGGGAGATGGAATGTGGGGGCCTGGAGCCAGGAAAGCCCCACCCCGGGACAGGGAACAGACTAGAAAGTGGGAAGTAAGGGGCCTCAAGAAGTGGAAATGGATACTTAATGTTGAGGAAAGGGAAGATATATCGTTCAAAAAGAATGTAAGGTTCTTCTCTCCAGACTGTGCCTGCAGCAGGATTAGAAACCCACTAGTTTCACTTTAGTATTTCTTTTCTTATTTTCTCTCTGCTCCCCTCGGCCTCGATCCGTCCATCTGTTTGTATTGGTAGCTGGAGACCCACTATACGATGGGGTTGAGAGGAAGGAGTGTTCCAAGTTAGCTGGGGAGAGTTAATTGGAAAATATGACGGTGGGGCAAGAACAGATAACAATCAAGCGATGCCTCAGTCCAGGGCTGCGAGATGGCCCTCTTATTCATCATTCCTCTCCAGCCCACTAATCTGCTTCCTGTGTCACTCACAGCCGACGTGTCCAACCAGATATTGCCGCTAGTCATATGCACGCCCCCAAACATCACAAACCCACATAGGCTGAAGTCCAGGGGACAGGAAGCTTTAAAAGAAAGCAGAAACTTAGTGGATAAAGGTGAGCCAGCAACACAAAAAGGAGCAACTTTTGCCCCCCAAATAGGTAGGACAAGAAGTTTTTTTGGATGTTCATCTCTCTGAAAAATTCCTAGTTAAATCTAGTCCATGTTTTCTCCAAATGTAATTATTCCAGCTTTCTAAGGGTGGGGGTAAACTGTCCCCAAAGAGCTATACCTGGAGAACCCTAAAAGATACCCCACAAAGAAAATCCGTAACAGCTGTAAAGGTTCTTCATGTCCGAAAGAAAGTTCTGAGCACCTAAGGTGTAGGTGTGTAACGTGATTCAGATGTTCACCTGGGGGGCGGGAAGCGGGGTGTCCCACCCCCTACTCTATACGGCACTAGAGTTCCTTGACATTCTGCAACTTGGAAGTTCCCCCTTCCCCTAGGGATTCAGCGTCGTAAAGGCCTTTGGATTTTGCGTAAGGGAGAGCAAGAAGACGTGTGGGGAACAGATCTTACCTGGGACAGAATAAGCAGATTTCAGCTCCCTAAAGGGATCAAGCTTTATAGACGCGTACTGAGAAGAAGGCGAGGACGACGGGGGGCGCCCCCTCTAATCAGGGTCCCCTTGAAACCAAGAACTCCCCAAACAGCGGGGGTGGCTTCTCCAGTACGGAAAGTGTTAAAACCCAAACGCTCCTGCATCCGCCTTCGACAGTTCCCTTACGTTATTCTTCCCCAAGCTGGAAAGTGGGGTGACCCTCCCCTCCCATAAGATCGCCCCCAATTAGGCCAAGTTTCTTACCCAACAGACGGATCAGCTGTTGCCCTCACCTTTCACCAACAACAAAAACAGCACTCCGACTTCTGGAGGGGAGGGAGACGAGTGGGCGCGAGGGCTTCTGGGATTTGTGGTTCTCTCTCGCCCTTTTGTAGCCGCGCTGGATCGGATCTAGGACTACAAATCCCAGAAGGCCGCGCACAAGGAGGGCGGGGAAGAGGGCGCCCTCGGCGGCGGCCTCTCTGAGGCGTCCTGGGAGGCGTAGTTCTCGCTCCTATGGCAGAAAACGAGGGTGTGGCCACGAAAGGACTTCACGGCCCATGATCCCTTAGAAGGGGGCCGGCTGTATTAGTGGTGGCTGCTGGTTTGTAACGTGCATTGTTGGGGGCTGGGGAGGATTTACTGCTTTAACGCGTTCTGTGTAACGCTTTAAAGGTGGGCAGAACGCTTTCTGTTGCGCCATCTCATGCACTTTTCACACCCACCTGTGAGATAGGCGTTCGGGTTAGGCACACTTAACAGATGAGGAACCTCGTGCCCAGTACGGTTAAGGAGCCGGTGTGAAGTGTCAAAGCTATGAAATGTAGAATTGCACTAGCTTTGGCTGACTCCACGTCATGTGTTCTTGCCACTACACCGCAACTACCCACTATTTTGGGGATGGGAAACTGAAAGCTGGGGTAGCAGTTTCTTCTTTGCTTCAACGTCAGGGACAGACCTTGTAAGAATGATGTGTTCTTCACAGCTGACCATTTTCTTCCAACTTGAGGAATTCAGTGCTAAGGGGCCTGACAATACACATCTGGACTGGGCTCCCCTGGAGTGGCTTCTGGGTTTAGGAAGAGGATATAATTGCCTGAGGTGGTGGTAGGAGCGGTGGAATGAGAAGAATGAAACTGAAAAGGGAGCCTGGCATAATTCAGGACCTGTCACAATTCACAAACAAGCCACTTATAGGGGCCTGTTTGCCCAAGCCTTTTAAGTGGCTTAAATTAATTAGGATAACAATACATGTTGACGTTCCGGTTTTTATTTAGGAGAGGTGAAATACTGACACGTCTCCCACACCCCAAATCACTTTATAGACGTGGGCATCCTGCCCCCCTCTCACCATTCTCCACCCCTCTAGTCGGAGGCATTCGGAACTACCTCTTTCCCTGGCTCCGTATTAAGGGATTAGTCTAAGGATTGATTTCCACTTCCTAGGTGCCTGCTTTAATTCTCTACTGCACTAAGTTACGGAGCTTCTGCCTTCTCCAAGTTTTTTGGTAGTGTTTTGCTTTTATGACTGAATGCGGTGTCTGCCCTGAATGTCTTTCATCTGAAGATCTCCAGGCACTTAACAATTAGTTACTGGGCTGCACAAACATTAAGGTGATGTGTCTGTGTCATTAGTCAGGATTTATGAGTTAGGGAACCAGCTTCTGGATGAGGAGGCAGGTCAAGGTCTGGAGTGGGTTAAGAGTGAGGCCTGTTCAAGGACCCAAGTCTCAAGTTTCTTGGCTCTTGTCTTCCACCAAAAATAAAGGTCTATAAGAAAGCAGTCTCAGACAGAGCTAAAAATGATAACAACTTCCATTTATTGGGTGCTTACGATCTGTTCAAACTATACTAAGAATTTTCCTATTTAATACAACAGGGTTATGTAATAGGCCTTGTTATTATCTCCATTTTACACATAATGAGATTGAGACACAATTAATGACTTGCCTGGAGTCATCCAACTAGTAAGTGGTAGAATCAGGATTTAAGGACAAGCAGTCACCATACTCCCAGTTCAGAAACTCTGGCATGTGATACTAACACCCATTGTTCTAAGGAACAGTGCTGTTCATTAACAGGAGACCAATGTTCACTGAGCATTTATGCGCTCAGTGCAAGACACAGGTAATGTGAAACAGATTCATTCAACAACTATGTGTGTCAGGTACTATGCTAGGTATTCAGTTAATTTTATTGAAAAATGAAAAGAAAATATTCATTATTTTTAAATAATGAATGTAATTCATTTTTTTTTGAGACAAAGTTTCCCTCTTGTGACCCAGGCTGGAGTGCAATGGCGCAATCTCGGCTCACCGCAACCTCCGCCTCCTGGGTTCAGGCAATTCTCCTGCCTCAGCCTCCTGAGTAGCTGGGATTACAGGCACGCACCACCATGCCCAGCTAATTTTTTGTATTTTTAGTAGAGACGGGGTTTAACCATGTTGACCAGGATGGTTTCGATCTCTGGACCTCGTGATCCACCCGCCTCAGCCTCCCAAAGTGCTGGGATTACAGGCTTGAGCCACCGCGCCCGGCCATTATTTTAATTATAGTCATTACTTTCAAATGTTCAAATATTTGAAGAATAGATTAAATTTGGATAGTTTGGCAAAATGGGGACTGGGGAGGGTAAGCTTCTTCTAGGCCAAAGCAAAGATTTGGAGGTGGGAATGGATAATGAACCTAGAGGCACATAATAGCACATCCATTTCAACCTTTATTTATTTATTTAGGCAAACTCAGATTATTGATAATGTCTGCCTGAAATGTTGCATTGAGGACTCTGAGGAAAGAGTGCCGGGTAGTAATGTCTGCCATGTACTCCAGATGGAAAATGGCAGTTGTAGTGGAGGGACTAATTGTTTGAAATTAGTTCCTCTTTCCTGCCCACTGCCATGTGACTTGCAGTAACTCCTGTAGAAGGAATATATGTCGTTGACTTTGGGCTTTGTCATGTTTCATAATTTGGCCGAAGAGATGTGAACAGACGTGACTCACGCCATGTTTAAGCACATGAGTTTCCACTTTCATGTTCTTCTCTGCCACTAGAATGGGCATATTCCATGTGAGCATTGCCTTCTGCCTGGGCCCTGGAATGAGAAGACTTACGGAGCAGAGCTGCCACTTACTCACAACCTGCATGTACATAAAGCAGAAGCCAACACTGGTTGTTCTAAGTCCCTTAGATTTTGGGGTTGGTTGTGATTGCAGCAAAGCTGAATAAAAGCTACAGTTGGGGGCCAGGTGAGGTGGCTCACTCCTGTAATCCCAGCACTTTGGGAGGCCGAGGTGGGCGGATCACTTGAGGTCAGGAGTTCAAGACCAGCCTGGCCAACTGGGGAAACCCTGTCTCTACTAAAAATACAAAAATTAGCCAGGCGTGGTGGTGTGTGCCTGTAATCCCAGCTACTCGGGAGACTGAGGCAGGAGAATCGCTTGAACCCTGGAGGCAGAAGTTGCAGTGAGTCAGGATTGTGGCACTGCACTTCAGCCTGGGTGACAGAGGGAGACTCTGTCTCAAAAAAGAAAAAAAAAAGCTACCGTTGGATAGTTGGATAATGGAAGATAAAATTGGAAAGATAGACTTAAGCCAGAGTATAGAGAGTTTTGAATGCCAGGTGAGCCAGAGCTTGCTATGTGTTTATCAGAACCTGTTTCTTTGTTTTTCTTGGACACACAACTGGACCACATTTTTAAGCTTCTCTTTTAATTACTGAGTTCCATTTCCAAGTCTGGCCCATGATTCCCTCCAAAAAAAGATCCTCCATATTTTCTTTCCTGTTTAGCTTGATGAAGATGACCTTAGGCACAGCGACCCTAAAGGCCACATGTTAAAGATAATGGAGCCACAGAATGGAAGGAAGCTGGTTTCCTGAATCATCACTTGGCAGGGAGCTGACCACTTATCAGGATCATGTGTTTTAGATTTTATTTGACCAATAAATCAATTTCTATTTTGTTACACTGCTAAAATGTGGAGCTTATTTTTCATAGTAGCTAGTGTTTTCCTAATCAATACATCATGTGCAAAGGTTTGGACTTCATTCCCATCAGGAATGGGAAGTTAGTTACTGAAGAGTTTTTGAAAATGGGGAATAATACTGTGAAGAAAGGTGGAAGTAACAATTATTGGGCTCTACAAATATTTCTGAGTGAGGGTGAGAGATCTGAGGACTGTTGGTTTTTTTCAGGCCATAGGCTAACTCTTGTCTGGGGGAAGGGAGATGACTCATGACTGTCGAAGGGCTCCATAGAGCTGGGGAAGGGGCTGCTGAAAAATGAATCCCATTTCCCTAAAATGTTAAGTCTCTTTATTCTTGTAAAAGTCCTAATTCTGGTCCAGGTGCTGTGGCTCATGCCTGTAATTCCAGCACTGTAGGAGGCCAAGATGGGTGGATCACGAGGTCAGGAGATCGAGACCATCCTGGTCAACATGGTGAAATCCCATCTCTACTAAAAATACAAAAATTAGCCGGGTGTGGTGGCACACTTGTAGTCCCAGCTCCTCGGGAGGCTGAGGCAAGAGAATCGCTTGAATCCGGGAAGTGGAGGTTGCAGTGAGCAGAGATCACACCATTGCACTCCAGCCTGGCGACAGAGCAAGACTCCATCTAAGAAAAAAAAAAGTCCTAATTCTAGTATTGCCTCATCTAGCTTGGTGCCCACCACATAATAAATGCTTAATGGAAGTTGGCCCTGGACTCTGGGAATGCTTTGAGGAGCTACAACTAGTTGACTGCCTACTATGTGAGAGGTGCTCTTTCACCCATTGAATCATCACAGTAACTGTGCAAATTGCTATCCAGATTTTACAAATGAAGAGACTGAGACTTTTAAGAGTAACCTGCTGGCTGGGCGCAGGTGGTGGCCCATGTCTGTAATCTCAGCATTTTGGGAGGCCAAGGCTGGCGACTGCTTGAGCTCAGGAGTTGGAGACCAATGACAAAACCCTGTTTCTACTAGAACTACTAAAATTAGCCAGGTGTGCTGGTGCGCATCCGTAGTCCCAGCTGCTTTAGAGAGGCTGAGGTGGGAGAATCACCCGAGCCTGGAAAATCAAAGCTGCAGTGAGCCGTGAATGCACCACTGCACTCTAGCCTAGGTGACAAGAGTGTGACCTGTCTTAAAAAAAAAAAAAAAAAAAAAAAAGTAGAGTAACTTGCTCAAGGTCTCTAAGAACAACCTTATTCTGAAACCTATACCTTTTCAATATAACGAGATGCTTTCTGAGAAAATAATAATGGCCAGTGTTATTAATAGTACTGAGTGTCTGCCATGTGCCAGGCACTCTGCTGGGTGCTTTACAAACACACAGAAGCAGCTCTATCAGATACTGTAGGTTGCTGTGAATGTTTCCAAACTGTGGACTCTGTGGGAAGTAGGAAAAACATTGATGTAATTTTAGCGCAAAGTTTGATTATTT